TCCCCAGCAGAGTAACAATGGCAAACGCGTCATTGTCTGCGCAAGTAAGTGGTTATTGCTTGGTGGACTTACTATTTAATGACGTCTTCTATAAAACCACTAAATTATCTGTAATGAAAAACCTTTGTTGCGAAATAATACTGGGACATGATTTTTTGCAGCACCATTCACAGGTTGAAATTCTGTATGGCGGTTCAATGCCCGCATTGAAAATTTGTGGATTGGCGACAGCAAAAATCCAGTACCCGTCACTTTTCGAAAACCTAACTGAAAACTGCAAACCCATAGCAGTGAGAAGCAGACATTTTTCTTATAATAATAAAAAATTCATTGACTCTGAGATAAAAAGACTACTTGAGGAGGGTATAATTGAACCTAGCAAATCACCCTGGAGGGCTCAGGTAGTTATAACCACTTCTAGCAACCATAAAAAGAGAATGGTTATAGATTACTCCCAAACCATAAATAGATTTACTCTTTTGGATGCCTTCCCACTACCCAGGATAGATGAAATAGCCAAATATCGTATGTTTAGCACTCTGGACTTGAAAAGCGCGTACCATCAGATCGCCATTAGACCTAGAGACAAGCCATACACTGCTTTCGAGGCGAACGGTCGACTATATCAATTTCGCAGGATTCCTTTTGGCGTTACGAATGGGGTAGCCAGCTTCCAAAGGATAGTCGACCAAATCATAACGGATGAGAAACTGGAAGGCACATTTGCGTACATCGACAACATCACAGTATGTGGCCATAATAGAAAGGAACACGACGAAAATCTCAGACGGTTCATGTCCGCCGTCGATAAATACAACCTTACCCTAAACAACGACAAATGCTCGTTTGGACTGGACAAAATAAACCTACTGGGGTATACCATAAGCAAAGGTTTTATGGCACCGGACGCAGATTGATTGAAACCTTTACTCCAGATGCCTGTCCCTCACAACCAGCCTTCCCTTCGACGTGCTATGGGCATGTTTGCTCATTACTCTCAATGGATTGCTTCGTTCTCAGAAAAGATACATCCATTGACACAAGTAGAGACGTTTCCTCTGTCCCATCAAGCCGTTGAGGCATTCGAGGGACTGAAAAAGGATATTGCGAAATCTGGAATTACAACAATAGACCAAAATATTCCTCTGGTTGTTGAAACGGATGTGTCAGACTGTGCTATTGCTGCTTCTTTGAAACAAGTTGATCGTCCTGTAGCCTTCTTTTCAAGGACCCTCTCACAGGCTGAACGACGACACTCCGCAATTGAAAAGGAAGCCTACGCCATAGTCGAGGCATTAAGAAAATGGCAACACTACCTGATCGGACGCCACTTTAAACTTATTACTGACCAGAAATCAGTTGCTTTTATGTTCAACTCTAAAACTACTATGAGAAAATAGCGAGGTGCAGAATTGAGCTATCTTGTTTCTCTTTTGACGTCAGCTACCGACCTGGCAAGGAGAACTTAACAGCTGATACACTGTCAAGAGCATGCTGTACGGCATCAAGCGGGGACGAACTCCGAACGCTACATAACAATCTCTGTCACCCGGGCATTACTCGAATGGTTCATGCTGTGAGGTGTAGAAACTTGCCTTTCTCAGTGGAGGAGGTAAAAAGAATTACAAATTCTTGTCGAACGTGTGCTGAAATAAAGCCTCGGTTTTATAAACCCCAAACTGACGTTTTAATAAAAGCAACACAGCCGTTTGAAAGACTCTGATGCGGAACGGCCTGCTCCTCTGAGAAGGAAACATTTCGGAGCAAGGTATTTTAGAGCCCGCAGACAGGCTTGCACTGAAGAGCCTCCCTGTTTGAGTACTCCGACCACGAATCATGGACTGCCGAGGCGGCCACTGCGAACTCGTAGGGAGCCTGGACATTTAAGGGACTTTCTTCCCTATCAGTGAGAAATTTGGTGGGGGAGAATGTTGTGAATATGGATTATCTCCTCTTAGATAATCCAAGCTATAAAAGCAGTATGCTTCCGCTGTGAAGTCAGATGTGTAGTAGTATTCTTAATTGAATAAACGATTACTAGACAGAATCTCTTGTCCTGTTTTCATTACAAACATCTTCAGGGTTTTTTCTTTATATAAATAATGAAATTAATGAGCACCCTCCAAATAAAAAATACATACCAGATATTGAAAATGAGGTGTGTGTGTATGTGGGGGGAGGATTACCTCTCCAATACTTTCATAAAGTTTGCTAATAAAATGACCAATTCAGTATATAAATCATTCATTCATGAACCAGTATTGAAAATTTAAATCAGATAATTTTTTTTTTTTTTTCCAAATCTTTAAGAACAGGATTCATCGATATTTTGTTTTCATTTTGGAAAAAATGCATCAATTTTAGTAGTACCTAGTATTCTAATCATCACAGCTAGAAGTAAAGTATATATGGTAACAGATTGCTTCTCTGTATGCGAGAAAGTTGTCTATTTTTTTTATTACATCTTTAAAAAGTTTCTCTCTTAGTTGAAAAACCCAAAACAGACCAGTCGCTCTAATTTTGTACCCCACATTGTTTTTTTTTTTGTTTTTTTACTGATACCATTGATACCTGTTTAGTAGGCCTTGTATAAAAACAAATTCGATATGAAAGCCCCTAATAAAGAAGGCCAAATGAAAGCAAGTCTTCAACAAAAGCAGCAGCATCAATAGAGAAAAAGCGTCAGTGAGTTAAGTCAAGCATGACAAATAGCAGCAGCAGCTGCACTCATCAGCAGGCAGACATACTAGATTTAAGGATCCAAGTTTTCCACAGAATATTGTCCTATGGAACAATAGCCTACACTGGTTTGGGAATTTGGTGACATAGTAATTTTGAGTTCAATCCCTTCTGCAGACAGTTTGTATTTCGACTCAGTGGAAACAAGGTGTGTAATAACTAAGCAATACTAAAAATAATAACTAGACAAGATATGGGCAATGATTCCATTACCAGTGTCTACTAGAATAGTCTACCCCTCTATATATATTAAATAATGTGTTCAGTTCAGAATTTTTTGTAGGTTACCTGAATCAATATACACCTGATGAAAGCCAGGGAGCATGTTGGTTGATATGTTGTGATAGCAACAGCAAAGATGAGGACAATAGTCCTCATCCTAGAAATTCAGACAGAAATGATACCACTTTGTTTATATAAAAATAGAAAACATTTTTGCTAATTTGCATTCTGGTAAAATTTTATTGATAATGGTTTTATATGTTTTTCTATATGTCTTTATATGTGCTTATATCTCTTTCTTCTCTTTACAATTACTGAACATAAATTCCTTATAAACAATTTATTTCACATTCCTTTCAGATATTTTATTTTGACAGATTAACATTTCAAAATGAGATTATTGAGCTGCACAAAATAAAATCATAATTTGTTTGATTATTGTTCTAATTGTCTATTAATTTGAATTTATATTTTGGCTCCAACTTCAACATTTTTCAGCAAAATCACCTCAACTGACAAAATAACTATGTCAAATGATTTATATAGACATATACATAGATTCTTTTTAATTATTATTTGTTGAGAAATGATTTTGAGGAAAATCTTTTAGTAAGGCACACAATTCAAAGAATGGATATTTATTTTAAATTTAAAGTATTTTCTTTTAAAAAGTATACATCAATACAAAGTAAACTTTGCACATATTGGGATATACTTATGATGACCTTAGAAACTAAAATTGCTTTCCCTACCGCAGAGACTAGAGTCAGGTAAAGAGAATTTTTTCACAAATGTTCTGTGAAAATTTTAAATACTCAGAATAATGCAGTTTTTCAGCAAATATAAATTTCTAGAGAGATAATCCATTATTAAAAAGCTGTAATAATTGAGAACTAAATGAACATTTTCCATAAAGCAATATTTGGCAAATATATCTATTTTTAGTTCTTATTGAAGAGGTAACTGATGAAATGTAAATGAGTTTAATTAACATTTGATGACCCATGAATCTATCTTTGTACCAAAGTTTACTTTGTTTAACATGTGGAATGAGTAGCCATGGTTAAATGCAAAATAAGTCGTAGAATTGTCTAACAAACAAAACTGACAAAGTTTGCAATGACAAGAGAAAGAAAAAAAAAAGAATGGCAAAAAATAATATCAAACAAGCAAACAATATATGCAAGGCAAATTAACAGTAATAAGGCAAAGCAACAGTAATATGGCAAAAAATTCACAATCTAAGAATTGGAGTTGACACACAAAAGCAAGTTCAGACAAGAGAATCTAGTGTTCTGATTTCAAGACAAGACAGACCAGGACTGAGTCAGATGAAACTGAGAACGGGCCTATTTTATTAGCTAGGAAAAAATCCCAGCATGCATCTGTGTGCTTATGCCTATAAATTGAGTAGGGGAAAGTGTTTTGCAGTCATTTCTATGGATTGAAACCAAATATGTATTTGCCAAGTATTTATGATTTGCAAAAGTGCACCATGGAATTTCCCTCGGTTCCAGTAATAAGATTTAATAAAAACAAACAGTAAGAAATGTTTTCAGTCCCTGCCATTAATTTGCATCAAATTCTGTTTTTAGTCTTTGACCTGATCAAAATTACAGGTTTTTTTTTTTCTCTTGATTGTTTCATGTTTCAAAATTTAATATTTTCTCAAATTACATACCATTCTTCAGACTCAAAGTAGACTTTTTCGTGCCTCACAGATGAGCCAATATTGGAAACAAAATGTTTCAGCCAGTACAATTCTTCCACCATTTTACCTGTTCTAGGAGGTCTAAGATACTAAAAAGGAACAAAAATAAAGAAATGGTCATTTCTCAGTCCCCGCCCCAAATAAATTACAATAAAATGAAGATGATGGAAGCTTACATGGAGAGAGAGAGAGAGAGAGAGAGAGAGAGAATGAAATAACGAGTTAATTGTTGAGTTGTTGATATTTGAGAAAGCAAAAGAATTTCGTTAAATTATTGATTTGCTCTTATTTTCTGCAAATTTCACTTTTGTTTCTATTTTCTTTACAGAACAATTGCCAACTATGCAATCTGGATGCTCATCAATGAAATGATCCAACATCTTACAGAAAAGTACATCCATTTAAAGTATGAATACAAAAAAGTTCTTGAGGTATTCATTGATTTCCTTTGTTCAGATTGATTAGGAATCAAATGCACTCTTAAGATTTTCCACTTTAAGAAAGATATTTTTTTTACAAAAAAAGAATTCAATAAAGTTCAAAATATATAATCATGAGCAATTTATTGCAATATATGTATGTATGTATGTATGTACAAGTACATGTGCATTTGTGTAAATGTGTTTATGTATGTTTGTATAGATGCATGTGTGTATATATACACAAATATGTTGATGTATGTTTTTTACTCTTTCTGCATTCATTTTCCTTTTTTCTTCACTCATTCTTTTCAGTTTGTTCAATTCTGCATTTCAATCTTATCTATCTTAGTCATTTCTCTTTTTTCAACCATTCTAGTAATGACTTTGAGTTATCTCCCTTCATTATTTCTATTTGTTTGGCTTATTCTATATTTTATTTGTTTTGTTTTTTTTGTTTTTTTTAACCAATTCACCCCAAGCAATGCGATAATGCTACTAAGATGCAAAGGACTACTAGGAGTGAAAAAGAATGAAAAGAATTTAGAAGTAACCAGAAATTCAATCCTAAGTAGAAAACAAAGGTTAAATGTTTACTCCTGTTCAAATTTTTAGCTTTCTCATTTAAGATTCTATTTCATCTTTTATATTTGCTACTTAATATTTACTGTTGTCAATTTGCTGTTCATGTCTACTATACTATTTAAAGCATAGAACCTGTTCTTGATTTCTGCCTATAATTAATTCCTGTATTAACCTTATAATCATTACATCTTTTATGGTGGTGTTTCTGTCAGAAACTACAAAATCAATTTCAAAATTTTATTTTACCATCTGGTCTTTTCCAAACCTATAAATGGCCCCTTCATTTAAAAAAAAAAAAGAAAGTTATATTCTTGTTTGTTTCTCTGAGAAACAGCGAAATTTTTGGAATAACTAATTCTTTAAATTTGTGATTTTATAAGCATATTCATTATTAATATTAAAATTACTATGGTAATGGCTAGTATAAAAAACAAACAATTAAATAATAAATACAAATTTTAAACTCCATAGTCTAAATAAAAAATTTAAAAGCCCTTTCCAATCCTATAAAAAAAAAACCTTTATGAAGTCATCAAAATGTTAGCTAATTATGACAGTTTTATATACATAAAACCCTTTCAGGAAAAAAATAAAAAAATAAATAAATCTCCAGAGACACTTAACGGTTAACCAGACTAGACGATGTCATCTTCCGCTTTAAATTTAGACACCCTAACCCTACACTGACTTGACATCTTTGAATGTAACTGAGATATTGATACAAATTATTAACACCTTACGCCCCTTTTCTTTAAACAATTGCTCTAGGCATTACCATAGTAATTTTAATATTAATAATGAATATGCTTATAAAAATACGTAAATTTCAATTTTCAAGAATTAGTTATTCCAAAAATTTCACTTGAAGATGGAACAGAGCTTGGTACTTTTATTCAATTTAATTCAAATAATTATATTGAAGTTTTTAAATAAATAATTATATTTAGGCTCTACTTTTGTATCGAGCACTGTTTTTTAAAAATGAAAACAAAAATACTAAAGAACTGTTTAGCTAACGAGTTTTCTTATTTTCTATATATTTTCACACACACACGTATATATATTAATTCTCTCAAATTCACTGATCGACTTCTTAGTGTTGATATTAGATTCATTAAGGATGTTTTTTCATTTCTTTTATTTTCATTTTTGTGTAATTTAGACAATCCATCGCATCCTGTGTATCTGCGTGTATGCATGTATGTCTGTGTGTGTGTGTGTATATATATATATATATATATATAAATAATTAGGAGGATTTGAAATAATCATAATTAAGTAATTCATCGAGTTTATAAGAAACCTCAACAGAATGTAGAAAGCATTGGACGGCCATTTTGTCCTATATTTGGAACTCATCAGCAATACGCATCCACTACCGAGAATTGAAACCTGAACAGTTATGATAGAGGTAAAAGCCATACCAACTGTACCAACGGGCCTTGGTGACTAATATATATATATATATATATATATATATATATTTTTTTTAAATTTTTATTCCTTCTTCGCTACATAAGAGTTCTCATGTTTCAAAAAATGAGAGCCGAAACCATCAATTTAATTATTAAAATTAAATTGAATTAAAGTAACAAGCCCTGTTTCATCCTCAAGCGAAAATTTAGGATTCTAAATTTTTGCTTGAGGATGAAACAGGCTTGTTACTTTAATTCACTTTTAATTTTTAATAATAAAGGAATCATATTTTTAAAAGAAATAATTATAATCTAAGCTCTACTTCTGTATAGAGCACTGTTTTTTAAAAATAAAAACAAAAATACTAAAGAACCCTGGATTATTTACCTAATGTGTTCTTTCCTATTTTTCCACATACCTGCACATGCATGTATGTACACACATATATACACACACACACATACATATATATATATATATATATATATATATATATATATGGTCTGAAGATTGCATTCATGCATGAAACAGACTGTCACCATTTGGTGTTGACTTTTGTGTCCACTTTTATATTTACATATGCTCTATTCCTGATATTGAGTTTAACTCAGAAATATTGTAGGCCCCTTAAAACTATATTTTTATCATGCGCACACGCATGCACACACATAGCTCAGTGTATTTTTATATTATAATTTTATTAAATGCTAAGCTAAGTGAAATTTCATATTTTAATTTGTTTGATTCTAAATAAATATTTGTTATGTTAAATGCAACAAAGCCTTTTTGTAACTCTTGATGCAGGCAGGTGACAATCCAGGGTGTTTAACGATGTTTGTATTCTTGGCAGGATCAGGCACAAGATTTCAACATGGGTTGCATGAAAGTACATAGGAACCATTAATTTTAAATCTAACTCTATAGCTATCTTTAATCCATCATATTTCTATTCATTATCTTATAAGATTGATATTTTTAATATTTTTATGTATGATTCTATTTGTTATGAAAATGTTATATTTTTGCCATTGCTTTCATTTTAGGCACTATTCTTGTAACTAAATGGTGCTTAATAAAAAGAAAATTTCCTTCTTTTCCCTCCATTTCTTTTAGGGCATTACCCAAGAAAAACCACGATGGGAAAAATGCATTACATTTGTGAACAACAATATGGGAATGGCTGTCAGTGCAATGTTCATACAGAATAATTTCAAGAAAGAAAGCAAAGAAGCGGTGAGTTGATTGATTGTCATTCCCTACCAGACGTTGGGTTACGCAAATTTTCATCCATTCCTGATATATTCAATGAAAATGAAAATATCTTCCTTTTCCTTGGTTTTTCTTTTTTCTTTTAATCATCTTAGTGAACACTTTTTACCTTTAATCAGCATGGCTGATGCTAACCTCCAACAGAGTTACTCATCGTGTCTTCTCAGCCTAACATTTTCTTCTAACATTAAATAGAAAGATTATATTGAAACAATTGCTAGGTCTGCTGCTCAGAAAGTTGATTCTCTGTGTCTGCTGCTCAGAAAGTTGATTCTCTGTGTCTGCTGCTCAGAAAGTTGATTCTCTGTGTCTGCTGCTCAGAAAGTTGATTCTCTGTGTCTGCTGCTCAGAAAGTTGATTCTCTGTGTCTGCTGCTCAGAAAGTTGATTCTCTGTGTCTGCTGCTCAGAAAGTTGATTCTCTGTGTCTGCTGCTCAGAAAGTTGATTCTCTGTGTCTGCTGCTCAGAAAGTTGATTCTCTGTGTCTGCTGCTCAGAAAGTTGATTCTCTGTGTCTGCTGCTCAGAAAGTTGATTCTCTGTTCTCTGTGTCTGCTGCTCAGAAAGTTGATTCTCTGTGTCTGCTGCTCAGAAAAGTTGATTCTCTGTGTCTGCTGCTCAGAAAGTTGATTCTCTGTGTCTGCTGCTCAGAAAGTTGATTCTCTGTGTCTGCTGCTCAGAAAAGTTGATTCTCTGTGTCTGCTGCTCAGAAAGTTGATTCTCTGTGTCTGCTGCTCAGAAAGTTGATTCTCTGTGTCTGCTGCTCAGAAAGTTGATTCTCTGTGTCTGCTGCTCAGAAAGTTGATTCTCTGTGTCTGCTGCTCAGAAAGTTGATTCTCTGTGTCTGCTGCTCAGAAAGTTGATTCTCTGTGTCTGCTAGACAATTTTTCTCACCGTAACCTGTCTTATATATTTACAAGTCTTCTTAATTCCTGTTCTTTTATTGTTCTCTTAAGGCAATATTTTGCAGAAAGAAGCTGTTTGAGTGGAACATACTTCTTGCTGATGGAATACAAAGGGAATGTGGGGAGTTTGCTACTTTGTAAGTAGCATGGCAGGTTGAAGGTTGAACCTGAAGGAACCAAGAAATGTAGTCTGTTCAAGTACTTTCCATGGTAATAGTGATAGAGCAGTGAGAGACTCACCACATGCTGCCTATGAGAGAGAGTTTGGAGGGTGGAAAATAATTCTTTGCCAACAAGAGCTCGAAGACTCTTTTGAATTCCATCAAGACTGGAAAGTGATGTCTGGGCAGCTTCCACCCAAATATGGAAACAGTATGTCCATTTTTGGCCTGATTTGGCTAAAGGTAGAGGATAGCATGAGGAAGCAGGTACTTACTGGAGCAGTACAGAGAGCTGATCATTTTACCTACATCTTTAGCAATGGATCGTATATAGGAGTTCCATTTGAGGTTGTTACAGTTTCATTTTCTCATCTCCTTAACATGGTTAGTTCAGTATATAAAGCAATAATTTTGGCTTACCTTTTGACAAGTAATGTTCACGCAACATTCGTAGGGCTTGACGTTCGTTGTCCTTGGCATCTCTCATTATTAAAGACAAACTCCTGTCATCCAGGCATTGTATTAATTTCGGTGAAAACGGTCGTATTTCTTTCTATAAAATCATCATCTTCTTTCTGGTCATCTTGGCAAAGAATGATGTCATGAAGTTTTTGTATTCTAAGGTAGCCTAAGAATTTCGTATCCCACAATTTATGTATCGACTCGTCTCCGTCAAAATACAGTCGTAATCTGGGCTCATAACCAATGTTGGCCATGTTTGCCATAGTATTTGAATATAGAATCCAGTTCAGTACGTAATGTGTTCAATGGAACAACGCCAATATCACTAGTAGCAGCTGTTTAGGTCTTTGATATCAGAGATTGGCAGTGAAGATATTTTTGTAGCTTGTAGGGTATCAGATTTGTTTTTCAGAAAATATATCATAAGTCCTGAATATTCATCAACAAAGTTTAATACATATGAATAGGTGCCGATACTCATTGGTGAAATTGGACCCGCTAAGTCGCAATAAACTATGAACAAGATGTCTGTTGATTTTGGAATATGATCCCTATTTCTATATTTTGTCATTTTCCCTTTAATGCATGTGTCACAATGTTGTAAGCCCTTTGGAGATGTAATTTTCATTCCAGTGATGTGTTCTTGCAATCTTTTAACATCCGAATTATTACAGTGGCCTAATATTTTATGCCAAGTCCTTAATTCGTGTGTGGCTGTCTTCACAGACTTAATACTTTTCAAATAATACAAACGTCCATTTTGTTGTATATTAAATTCAGTTCCGTCTGGATATGTTAACTTTGAATTGTCTTGGTGAAAATTAACTTTAACACCAGTTCTAACAGCAGACTGAACCAAGAAAATATTTTGTTTGAATTTAGGGATATATAAAGCCCTTTTTAATAAACATTTACAATTATTTCCTTTAGTATCTCATAAATAAATACAGGCATTGCCTCTTTTTAAAACTAAATTATTAGCTCTGGTACCGTCAGCCAACTCAATAAAGTGGGAATCAGGCTCAAAGTTGGGGTCAAAATTAATAAATTTTGTTTCATCTGTAATTACATGATTTGTCGCACCCATGTCGACTAGGTAAGAATTATAACTATTGGGTATCATATCCAACCCAAACGAAAAAGCATATGTTCGCTCATTCGAAAAAGCTTTTACATTTTTACAAAAATCACTCCTTGTATAAAATTGACATTTCGCACATACATGGCTGGCTTCACCACAACGAAAACAAATGATATTTGATTTTCTATTATTACTGTTCCAGTTGTTGTTGTTGTTATTATTATTATTGTAATAGTTGTTTTTAAGCCCCTTGTTTTTAATATCATAATTTCTGGTATGTCTGGGGGACTCGTTTTCTGAATTTTTTAAATGACGTTCTCAGTTGCATTACGTTATTTCCTTGATTTGTGGGGGGTACACATTTTTTCAGTTTCTTTATAACTACGTAACGCAATTTTAAACTCGGTGAAAGTTAATTTTTTATCTTCTTGAATTATGACTGTTGTGAATGGTTTGAATGTCGGTGGTAATCCCTTTAAAACCATGGCTATTAGTAGCCCATCTGAGATAGTCTCACCTGCCATTTTTAAGGCATTTGTGACATTCTCAGCTCATATAATATAATCTGTTCTAATTATTTTTACTTTTCCATGTGGTGAGATATCAGATAACTAGAACAGATTATCTAAACTAAGGGCTTACAGAGGTCAGGTGTCTTTGAGGCCCAATATCCTCTCAAGTCATGGGGCCTTTTTGAGGAGACATCTGTTCATTGTGACTGGCTATAGTTTGAAGTCTGATCGGTGGTTATCAAATGTAACCAGTTTGGTTTTTGAGGCCTTGAATGTAACCAGCCAGTTTTTTCCCCATTAAGGAGAGATCAGCTGCCAAACTTTGATTGTCAAGAGTTTTATACCTGTATATTGTTGTATCATCGGCATAAATATTTACAAATGATCAGAGTATATTCTTAGGTAGATCATTTATATACATCAGAAAGAGGGTTGGTCCAAGATGTGACCCCTGAGAGGCACCTGCATTGAAAACCAGGACCTCGGAAGATTGGCTGTTAATAACTACCTTCATAGATCTACCTGTTAGGAAGGATTTTATAATAAAGAAAACCCTTCCAGTGATTCAACAGCTGGAGATCTTGTACTACACCTTGTCAAAGGTCTTCTAGATATCTAATGCTATGATTCTTGCAGTGTGTGTGTCATCAAGGGCCTCACTAATTCTGTGTGTAATGGTAGTTAGGATGTAAGCAGTGGATTGGGCTGATCAAAACCCATACTGCTCATCAAACAAGAGTTTGTTGCTATCCAGGTGCTCGACAAGCTTCTTGTTTATTAAGGCCTCAAAAACCTTACTAATGATACTGAGGAGACTAATAGGTCTATACTTTAAAGTGGAGGATTAGTTGCCTGCGTTTTTGAAGAGTGAGCATATGCTTGATATTAAGGACAACCACAAGGGGCTAAGACTTTTGATAAGTCTAGAGACCTCTCTTTATGAAATGAACAATTGCAGGCGGTTTTGAAAGTACTAAGGGCTAGACTATACCACTCCTTGCAATAGAATTGAATTACTTGTTCCGATGAACTATGGTTGCAGCACATTCAAGAAAGAAAAAGTGCTGACTGATTGGTTTTTACTGGAATTTTTTTTGTGAGTATAAAACATTCCATTCCAGAAAGGATCCATACAGAGACTATGGCAGCATTTTTGGGGGCAGAATACTTCAAGAAAGTTAGGAGAGGAGCTTCCATTGTAGCAGATTGAAAACTGTCCCTTTACTGTCTTCATATAGCAAAAAAGCGTTCAGGGGATGTCATTTGGACGCTGACTAAGAAATGGTCTGATGTTCCAATGGGTGAGATGTTAAAGCTTTTGCTGGCCATTTGTCAGGCCAGGATGTTAGAAAAAGCTTGAGGAGGTTTGCCTGCTGTCCTGTCACATCCGGGACTAAGTTGGGTTATTTAATGGTCTGGATTAGTTCATAGGTAAATATCTACCTTCCTCATTGGAGTGGACTAACCACTGATTGTGGTGGACATTGAAATCATGACATGTGAAAGTTGAGTGAGGGAAATTCAGTGAGGATATTGTCAATCCTCTCTGATATTTGATCGAAGATTACCAACCCTTCATCCTGAGGATTATACAGAGCAAAGATGAATGTGGTGCTATGAGGAAGTGCATATAGAGGAGATCAAGGTACTCATTTTTTGTGTTCCTGTCACAGGGAAACCCGTCCTTGATGTAAGCACCAAGTCTGTGACTGTGGCAATTTAGGTGATCATATTTTGTTATAATAGATGAGTAGCCCAGGATTGTGAGCTCCTTTAATGGGTTTGAGGCATTGATACAGGAGGTCAGGTTTAGACTGAAGAAGATGGAGTTCTACTTCTGGAAAGT